CAAATCAACCATTTACACATCACATCAAAGAGAATACAACATTAATGAACACGAGTAAGATCGAGATTAACACACCTTTTCCTCCGAAGAAGGTTCAAAACTGACTGTTATAGAGAGTATTCAGAGCACAAAAATTGATTATGCTCTATCACTCTGCACAGTGCTGATTATGTTCTTGAATTTTTCAATTTCCGATTTTCATGCGAACAGTGCAGAGAAATACAGGCCTGTTACGGCGGTGTACGAGCCCTAATGCTGAGGCGGTTACTGCTTGCCACGCACTTGTTTCCAAATAATTGGTGATAGTCAGCTTCGAGCCCGATTTCTGGTGGCGCATCCCACTAGTGGGGTCCAAGTAAAAAAAAAAAAAATTACACACTAAATTATAAAAAAAATATTTTCTACCAAAAATATTCAGTGGGATGTGGACTGAATCGGGCTACAACCCAGCTCAAACCCCTACATCTGTCCCTGCTTATTTCATTCTCACAATCATCCCCAAGTTTCTATTTGTTACGAGGTTATAAAAATACTTCGTTTTACCCTTTTTTTTTTTAATAAATAAAAAGTAATAAATGTTCAAGTGCAGAAAAATATTCGTGGTCCGTTTCTCGTTCACGATCATATGACTAATTAATAAAAGATTAAGAGTAATAATGTAATGCAAAAGGTGGAGAAATGAAGCACCGCAATCAGCAAAGATTCAAGACTTTTAATGCAATAAAAAAGTAGTGCAACGGAAGAAAACTGTCATGAAAATACATCCTGAACTTTAAGGCATGTTCGAATATCATTTTTGTTTTCAAAAAAGTGCATTTTTTTGATAATATATTGATGGGAAATAAATTTTATATAAGTGAGTGATAGAATTAATTGATAAAACGTTAAATAATTAAATGTGATATTTAATTATGTGAATCATTGTAATTAATTTGGGTGAATTGGAAAAGTCTCCAATATAGGCCCATAAGTTGATAAGTCCAAATTTAAGTGTCTTATATATGGTAAGGAATTCCATATCGAAAGTTTA